ACGAAGATTGCTAACCAGGGCCTACGATCGTAGAATTGACGTTGGACAGAGACATTCATTAATTCTATTGTCTACTCAGAGGACGAAACCTCCGACTTTACTCACAAGAGGACAATTATCAGAAGTTTGTGGGAGGTGATAAAGTTATGGGGTCGGAGTTATAAAAAAAAACAAAAATAACCAGTTCCACTGCCCGCCAAGAAAGCCCAAAGCGGTCAGAAACAAGGACACAGACATGCCCCAGACTTAGCACATGTGCCCGAGGTCAATACAACCGGCGATAAGTGCATGAACCAATTTTATTTAATTTCCGTATCGACACTCCTTGCCTCTGCTGGCTTCAGAAGTCTGAAGACAGATGATCCCTTCATTTGAAGGAGATTATTCATCCCACTTTTGCTGTGTTGTAGGACGAATGAAAGTGAGCGCACTGCTCTGAGTAGTGTGCTGCAGGTATATAAACTTCGAAGAACATATCTGCGACGACAGTGTGCTCAAATAGCAAGAGGTTTGGACACACCTTGTTTAGAAAATCCTTTTGGAAAGCTGGGCCAAACGTTGTGTCACCGTGTATAACAGGAGAATCATTCACTGGACGAATGATTAGCTGCTCGATACGGTAGAACGGACTGAAAGCAGAAATAGAAGACAATTGTGTTAACGTCACAAAAAAGTCTAAAAGCACAAACAGGTCACAAAAAAGCTGGTGCGCCATACTCAACCTACTTGACACCTAGTGAAGGTGATGGTAGATATTGCGGTATTAAACAACGCAAAAGCCTACTGTCAATTAAGACTAAGTTAGGCGGTGTTCTGGGCATCACTGGTGAAATCGGTCTACGCCTGATCCCCTTCGGTCATCTCGACACTGTCTTGTCAACGGTTCAAACGGATTCAGGGTGCGGAAGGCAGCTGCGCGTTAACGCACTTAAATATCCCTATTTGCTGTCATCCTCCCTGTCCCTAAGTACGGAGTGGACTTCATCGAAATCGATAGTCAGACGATCACCATCACATTGTATGATTAGGGGCATAACGTGGGATAGAAGGGTGCAAATGAATATCTAGAATTGGGTAAGCATCGCGAGAGTGCCGTAAGTTGGAAAATTTCACGCTCAGCATGACGACTAGTGGAATGTGGTACAAAGTACTGGACTACAACTGAGTCCTTGGCGTGCCGGAAAAAGGCCATCTAGCAGGTGTTCCTATAAAACGTCTATGATTAGTTCCATTGTGTAGCCCAATTTCAAATGGGTCAGCCTAGAAACTTACAGCTGCGTGTCATGTCATACTCTGGGGAAGGTTTTTCATTTGTACTACGAAAGAATATTATCAAGGTAATTTAAAATGCGATATTTGTAAAGTGCCGCAAAGAAGTTAACCGAAAGGCATTTAAAAAATTGGGAGAGAATGATGCGAAAAGGGATATAAAGGAGTCTACTAATCTGCAGAAGTAAGGGATTTACAGTGTGCACAGTATGTAAGTCAAAGTTATATGGCAAAATGATGGCAAAATTTACCACAAAGAAAACGCCATTTACAAAAGCATAAGGTTGGGAAAGCTTTAGAATAACCACATGACAAAAGCACTGCTTTACTAATGCTTTTTTTCTAGTAACTAAGATTATTACAGATTAGTGAAAGTCTCTTTAAACAAAGGCTAGCACAACACCAACGTTCACAGCGCGGTATCTTTCTACCTCAGCACATCCCATCCTCCAATTAAGGCGGAGGGCGATGACATTTCCTTATGTCAGTATCAAAACTCCTGGGCCTCACTCTCGACCCGACGCTGGCTCTACACCGCCATGCTG